CGAAGGACAATGCCTCTCCAGCTCTTCTTTCCTTGAAAGATCTAGTTTTGGCATTAGCTCTTTAACATAAGACATGTCATGACATGGGATATACTCATTAAATTTCAAAGGACAAACATTTACCCCAGTTTCAGGGATTTTCAACGGTATCACCCGATAAGAAAGAGACACCTTGTTTTTAAACTTCAAAGCACCTGCATACATAATATGAATCAGAATTAATATTCTCTGAAACCCAATAAAATAAGTCATTGTATAGTAAGTGCACTCTCTATATTTTCGGCACTCCTAGTCAGTTTAAGATATCTCTTGTGCAAGGGTGTAACAAATAGCGCATGACTTATCCCAAAAGCTAAGTGTCATAATGATGTTCACGAGTGACTCTTGACGAGACTTCATATTTGTTCTCTATCAAAAATGTTATATAAAGCTTTTAATCAAAGACGCTATGCTATACAAAATAGTTATCAGCCTCAACCACACAGTGAACGGATAGACTACCTAAGAGAAAGTTGTTGCTTCACCATCAAACACTAGGTACTTTAATCTGCATAAACTCTAAAGCAAGGCGATCCAACCATCGTCTTATACCTTATAAAATCAAAGTTTCTGATGATAAATTCTCAGGCCAAACTCAGTCAGCATATACTCAGACCCAATGTCAACCAAACCAATTAGCAATTAAAGAAGCCAAGCCATTCACAACCCACCTCACTGTCTTTCCTATATAGGGAAGTACTAGTGCCGTACCTCGTTTTTATAAACACGACACAGCATTTACTTAAATTTGATCAGAGCACATCACCTTTAGTTCTATCTAGTACCAACTAAATCAAACCAACCATGATTAAGTGCCTAAAGACAGTAAACAACAAAGATAAAGATTTGTTCTTTCTGTATTGAGGATGTCATATTGCTCTAGTAAAAAAGCAAAACAACTCTTAATTATCATCTCTCGATCCAATTTATCCATCTCCACTTACCCTCTCCCCCCCCCCGACCAAC